GATTCTGGCCTGGATATGTTGAGAGTGGGCGCAGTTAAGCTTTGCCATGATGTGATGATCCACCAGTCCCACCAAGCTCCTCCGAAACCTGCGACCGGTGGACCTTGTAGCTTGCGGTGAGCCACTTTCTTATCTGATTCTGGCCTGGATATGTTGAGAGCGAGCGCAGTTAAGCTTGCCATGACCAACATTTATATATGACCGATCTTTCCAGTGTCCCAGTGGTTCTAAACCTGACATTTTTGTCTACCATAAACTTTAACTGTTTGACCTCACCTTTCATAAGGAGAGAGATTTGTTTAGGTTGTAATGTACATTTAAGAACTTCCATGTAATTTGATTTGAATCTGGATATCTGTAAGTGGCATGTATCAATCAGATGAAGAATTTTCTTTTCACAATTATCCTTATAAAATTTCGTCCCCTTGGGTATATGTAATTATACTTTTAACAGAAAACTTTTTTCTTTAAAAAAAATTGTAGGGGGAAAGGGGGTAGTGGTGTATGGGAGCAATGAATTTGTAAGTGTGTTCTCATTTAACAGATTTATGGCAACAATAGGACAAACAGAGTGTACAAATTGCTGACTGTTTGACGAGCCTAATGCAATATGAATTTGGTTATACATAATCATAAATGAATTGGTATGAATTTAACAAATATTAACACGATAAAATTAGGACCCTTTAGACCCGAAGGACTCACCTGTTTTGTATGGTGGCCGACTGTAAAGAAAGCAAACTTTTCTATTTTTTTTTGGCAGATGCTCTTCTCAAACCCTGCAGTGTACGACTGCTTGGTGGAAATAGGGTTTAGCGTGGCAATTCCTTCAACATTTTGACTGTTGTATATGATGCTTGTGTTTTGGAGCATTGAATATTTTTTTTGGTTATTGAGAACCGAGTACAAGTAAGAAGTTAAGGAAAGCTATTGATAGGTCTTTAGTTTAATGATACTTCTTATCTTGTAAAGATTTTGTCTTTTTTTTTAAGGTCAAGGGATCAAGTCCCTCTTCCCACCCCACCCCTCGCCCCCAAAAAAAAAGAAAAAAAAAAAAAGGAAAGCTACTAATGCTATGTAATCTACTATTACTACTACTTGGTCAACTCCAGAATCTAAGGTGGTTGCATGTCCGCAAGAGATGACATTCCTTGTAGCACATTCCTTCACCAGTTCTAGCAGGCTATCAGCTGGAATTGTTCCAGTAAATTTCATTCTCTTGCCCCATTAAGCAAGCTCATGCGCAACTGAATTTGCTTGTGTGCAAGAATGGACCATGCTCCAGTCAAGGTGTTCTTCAAGTAATTTTTGTGTCTTTGATGATCATGACTATAGACCAGTGGAGCTTTATCTGTTCCAACATTGTGGCATGTGTGATGGCTTGTGAATCTCCTTCAAGTGTAATATAGCTCCAGGACTTGTTGTGCCCCCAAAATGCTGCCTTTTTTCTGCTAGTGCCTCTGCTCTGCTTGCCATTGCTGCTATGCACGAACGGGTTTTATCTATTGCTGCATCAAAGTTTATCTTTATTTCCCCATCACAAGGTGGTGCCCATCTTGTAAAAATGCCTCTGTGAAAGTTTGAGACTGGTTGATGGCCATTAGTTCTTGCTTTTTATGAAAGTATGAATTCATCGAATTTTAGATGTATTTCCTTCAGAGTACAGCTGTATTTCCTTGGAGCATTGAGGTGGTGGACACTTATAGCCATCCTCACCCATCATCCAGCATTATAGAAAGGTCATCTATACATAATACATGCTCCCTTGGTCCCCACCATCATTGTTTTGAAATAAGGATTGAGCCAGGAAAAAAGTTAGCGAGAGCANAAGTTGCTTTTTATGAAAGTATGAATTCATCGAATTTCAGATGTATTTCCTTCAGAGTACAGCTGTATTTCCTTGGAGCATTGAGTTGGTGGACACTTATAGCCATCCTCACCCATCATCCAGCATTATAGAAAGGTCATCTATACATAATACATGCTCCCTTGGGCCCCACCATCATTGTTTTGAAATAAGGATTGAGCCAGGAAAAAAGTTAGCGAGAGCAAATCTACTGACCCAATCAACTTGGTATATATCTGTTGTTCAAAAACCCAGTATGCCTGTGATTCTCATGGTAATTCTAGAGGCCCGGATGTGATAATAACCTAAGTGGTTCAAAAGAAGGGTGTTCAAGATTTCATGTAGATACATGTATATTTATCAGAAACTGTACTTGAAGCATGTGTGATCATAACATTCCATCATGCTTCTATCACTAAAGTTCATAGCGGCCAACTCTATCCACACTGAATGATGGTCATTTCTATATTAATCCATCCCTTTCAGCGAGTTGGCTGTATGTCCACACATAACACCATGACATTTTAATCTAACTCATAGGTCGCCACTTCAGTGAATTGAATTCGAGAAATGATGCTTGCTCTAATATCAAATGACATGAGCCCATGAGTACAACTCACAATGGAAAAACGGCTCGTATGGAAAGAGTGGCTGAGTTCATATGAACACATACTTAATCGATTTGGGATCGTTACAGGATCCATCCGAGAGACCGACCTTCGTTACTGCGCAACTGTACTTATTGATATGCTGCACTCAGTTTCTTCCCATAGACTTTCTCGGCCACCTCCTCAGCTACATCCACCTTATCATGAATTATACAAGCACCCAACAAAGCCCCCCACAAAACCTCATCAGGCTTCACCTCCATCCTTTCAATCAACTCTTTTGCTTCCTCCACNGAATTTTCTTTTCACAATTATCCTTATAAAATTTCGGCCCCTTGGGTATATGTAATTATACTTTTAACCGAAAACTTTTTTTTTAAAAAAATTGTAGGGGGAAGGGGGTAGTGGTGTATGGGAGCAATGAATTTGTAAGTGTGTTCTCATTTAACAGATTTATGGCAACAATAGGACAAACAGAGTGTACAAATTGCTGACTGTTTGACGAGCCTAATGCAACATGAATTTGGTTATACATAATCATAAATGAATTGGTATGAATTTAACAAATAGTAACATGATAAAATTAGGACCCTTTAGACCCGAAGGACTCACCTGTTTTGTATGGTGGCCGACTGTAAAGAAAGCAAACTTTTCTATTTTTTTTTGGCAGATGCTCTTCTCAAACCCTGCAGTGTACGACTGCTTGGTGGAAATAGGGTTTAGCGTGGCAATTCCTTCAACATTTTGACTGTTGTATATGATGCTTGTGTTTTGGAGCATTGAATATTTTTTTTGGTTATTGAGAACCGAGTACAAGTAAGAAGTTAAGGAAAGCTATTGATAGGTCTTTAGTTTAATGATACTTCTTATCTTGTAAAGATTTTGTCTTTTTTTTTAAGGTCAAGGGATCAAGTCCCTCTTCCCACCCCACCCCTCGCCCCCAAAAAAAAAGAAAAAAAAAAAAAGGAAAGCTACTAATGCTATGTAATCTACTATTACTACTACTTGGTCAACTCCAGAATCTAAGGTGGTTGCATGTCCGCAAGAGATGACATTCCTTGTAGCACATTCCTTCACCAGTTCTAGCAGGCTATCAGCTGGAATTGTTCCAGTAAATTTCATTCTCTTGCCCCATTAAGCAAGCTCATGCGCAACTGAATTTGCTTGTGTGCAAGAATGGACCATGCTCCAGTCAAGGTGTTCTTCAAGTAATTTTTGTGTCTTTGATGATCATGACTATAGACCAGTGGAGCTTTATCTGTTCCAACATTGTGGCATGTGTGATGGCTTGTGAATCTCCTTCAAGTGTAATATAGCTCCAGGACTTGTTGTGCCCCCAAAATGCTGCCTTTTTTCTGCTAGTGCCTCTGCTCTGCTTGCCATTGCTGCTATGCACGAACGGGTTTTATCTATTGCTGCATCAAAGTTTATCTTTATTTCCCCATCACAAGGTGGTGCCCATCTTGTAAAAATGCCTCTGTGAAAGTTTGAGACTGGTTGATGGCCATTAGTTCTTGCTTTTTATGAAAGTATGAATTCATCGAATTTTAGATGTATTTCCTTCAGAGTACAGCTGTATTTCCTTGGAGCATTGAGGTGGTGGACACTTATAGCCATCCTCACCCATCATCCAGCATTATAGAAAGGTCATCTATACATAATACATGCTCCCTTGGTCCCCACCATCATTGTTTTGAAATAAGGATTGAGCCAGGAAAAAAGTTAGCGAGAGCAAATCTACTGACCCAATCAACTTGGTATATATCTGTTGTTCAAAAACCCAGTATGCCTGTGATTCTCATGGTAATTCTAGAGGCCCGGATGTGATAATAACCTAAGTGGTTCAAAAGAAGGGTGTTCAAGATTTCATGTAGATACATGTATATTTATCAGAAACTGTACTTGAAGCATGTGTGATCATAACATTCCATCATGCTTCTATCACTAAAGTTCATAGCGGCCAACTCTATCCACACTGAATGATGGTCATTTCTATATTAATCCATCCCTTTCAGCGAGTTGGCTGTATGTCCACACATAACACCATGACATTTTAATCTAACTCATAGGTCGCCACTTCAGTGAATTGAATTCGAGAAATGATGCTTGCTCTAATATCAAATGACATGAGCCCATGAGTACAACTCACAATGGAAAAACGGCTCGTATGGAAAGAGTGGTTGAGTTCATATGAACACATACTTAATCGATTTGGGATCGTTACAGGATCCATCCGAGAGACCGACCTTCGTTACTGCGCAACTGTACTTATTGATATGCTGCACTCAGTTTCTTCCCATAGACTTTCTCGGCCACCTCCTCAGCTACATCCACCTTATCATGAATTATACAAGCACCCAACAAAGCCCCCCACAAAACCTCATCAGGCTTCACCTCCATCCTTTCAATCAACTCTTTTGCTTCCTCCACCCTCCCCTCCCTCCCCAACATATCCACCATGCACGTATAATGTTCGACACATTGTTTCACTCCGAACCTCCTCTCCATCATCTCAAAATACTCCCTCCCCATCTCCGTCAACCTCCCATGACTACAAGCCGTAAGAACGGTGGTAAAAGTCACTCCGTCAGGCAACATTCCGTCACCCACCATTTTTTCGAACAACCCAAGCACCTCCCTCGGACTCCCATGCATCCCGTACCCCGCCATCATTGCCGACCACGTAATCTTATTTCTCTCAGGCATTTCATCGAACACATTCCTAGCACTACCCAAGTCCGCACATTTTGAATACAAAGTTATTACGGCATTAGAATTTGGGATATCTGAAGAAAGCCCATTTTTCAAAACCAAAACATGAACCTGACGGCCAAGAGTCAGAGCCGATAACCCGGCGCAGGACTTGAGCACCGCAGGTAACGTGTAGGGGTCAATGGGTTTTTGGGCAAGAAGCATCTGGCGGAAACATGATATGGATTGAGAGAAATGGTTCAGAGAAGCGAAGCCTCGGATGAGGGAGTTGTATAGAAAGGTGGATTTACGGTTGGTGAGAGAGAAGATGAAGGAGGCCTCGAGCATTTGGGCACAGGAAGAGTAGGATGAGACGAGCTTTGCTCGTATGAAGTCGTGGCGGGAAATTCCGAGAGCGATAAGTCGCGAGTGGATTTGTTTCAGTTGGGTTAGGTTATGGGTGGATGAACACAGGTCCAGCAGGGAAGCAAAGATGGGTATTTGGTCGTGAGGATAGCGCATTACTGTAATAGAGCGAGAGAGAAGGTCGTCCTTTGCCTCTTTTTCCCCCGGCAAACTCCGAGCAGAGAAAAAGAAATAACAAGGGTGAATTACACTATTTACCCTCAAATTATGCTATATATGTCAATTAAGCTCCTAAACTATAGTTTTTTTCAATTTAGCTCTTCAAATCAATTTAATCTGGCTCTCCTGTCCACATTCCGTCAAAATATCATGAGATCCACTGTCTGCCATTCACAAAGGAGGGGTATTTTTGACAAAACAAGAGTCTCCAATTTTTATTTTTTTTTTAGTAGGGTTTGCATTACTGTCCCAAATCTGGGTCCAAAATTCGCGACTAAAGCCCACGTGATTGTCAAGTGAGTTGGGCTTCATACAAAGGAGTCTCACCTACCCAACAGGTCTGCATCTATAATATTTTAGAAGGACGATGTGCTCTATTTTGTAGAGATACTGCAGGCATCTTTGTGCATGGAAGGCGGGAGAACGAATGGACATCTTGGATAGATTATAATCCTGGAAGAAGGTTTTTTACTTGTCTAAATCGATGAGTATATTTTCTCTGTTTCAAGCATTTAAAACAAGATTAGAGTGTAACATGTAATTCACTACTTTTTTTTTTGTTCCGGAATGATGAGAGTGGATTTTTCTCATGGTATGACCCACCAATGTGTTTGCACACACGTCAAATAATTCTTTATGTTTTGAGAAATTAAATGTACTGGAAGTCCTAGAAGCTAGACGTAGATCAAGAGAGAAATGGTTGTGGTTGGCCGTGGGTGTTTGCTTGATTANGGAGTGGATTTTTCTCATGGTATGACCCACCAATGTGTTTGCACACACGTCAAATAATTCTTTATCTTTTGAGAAATTAAATTTACTGGAAGTCCTAGAAGCTAGACGTAGATCAAGAGAGAAATGGTTGTGGTTGGCCGTGGGTGTTTGCTTGATTATCATATGGCTATTGTAGAAGTCAAACGTGAAGAGTGTTGCAGAAGTTGGACTTGTTTAGGGGTGTTTAGATTTTCGTTTGTTTGATTTATTCTGAGTCTATCCGATTTGATTGATCGACTTTTGCAAAATATCAGCTGGCTAATGCAAAACCTTTTGGTATTTCATAAAAAAACAGATAGGAAGAATACCCACAATTTTTNCAGATTTTCGTTTGTTTGATTTATTCTGAGCCTACCCGATTTGATTGATCGACTTTTGCAAAATATCAGCTGGCTAGTGCAAAACCTTTTGGTATTTCATAAAAAAACAGATAGGAAGAATACCCACAATTTTTGTCTTTCTACCGACCTACATGAATATTTATATTTTAAAAAATTTATATATTATGAGCCAAATATAAATTGATGCACAAATAGTACACCTCACAAACCCTAGTTACTGTCGCCCAGGGCCCTAAGCCTCCTACTCTTCGAGTCTCTTTGCGCCTCTCTTTGCACGTCTGAGTTTCACTTCCATTGATCGAACTCGAAGCCACAAGCCACAAGCATACATCGAGGAAGGCTGGTTCAGAGCTCCACAAGCATTCAAGAACTAAAGACCTATTTGATCCTCAAGAGTATGTTGGTAGATTAATGGAATGTACGGATGAAAAGACTGACAATTATTTTACAATCAATGTTATTGATTCCCTTTCACACACATACAATTGAGGCCAATAAGTCTCTGTAATGTGAGCTTGAAAATCCTTACCAAGCTCGTACTAGATAGACTTAGACCATTTATCGACAAATTGGTTAGTCCCAATCAAAACAGCTGCATCCCAGGGAAGCAGACTATTGATAATGTCATCATCACCAAAAGAAATTATCCATGCAACAAAAAGGAAAAAAGGGAAAGTGGGGAACATGGTGATCAAAATCGATCTTGGGAAAGCTTATGACAGAATTAATTGGTCTTTCTTGCATCATCTACTAATTGAATATAATTTTCCACAACATTAGATTGAGATTATTATGAGTTGTGTCACAAAATCATCACTATCTATACTATGGAATGGTGAATCCCTTAACCCTATCACACCTAAAAGAGGACTTAGGCAAGGCGACCCACTGTTACCTTACCTTTTTACTCTTTGTATGGAAAAATTAGAGCAAATGATTAAAAAAAAAAATGGAAGAGGGATGTTGGAAAGACATTAAAGCATCAAGGAATGGTCATTTTATCACCAATCTCCTTTTTTGCTGATGATTTNCCTTGCCTTAGAGGACTTAGGCAAGGCGACCCACTGTCACCTTACCTTTTTACTCTTTGTATGGAAAAATTAGAGCAAATGATTAAAAAAAAAAATGGAAGAGGGATGTTGGAAAGACATTAAAGCATCAAGGAATGGTCATTTTATCACCAATCTCCTTTTTTGCTGATGATTTCATTCTTTTCTCTAGGGCAACATAAAAGGATTGTGATCTGATTAAGGAAGTGCTTCAAAACTTCTATAACATCTCAGGCCAGAAAGTAAACCTTGCCAAATCTAAAGTATACTTCTCTCCTAATATCAGTAGAAGCAAGGCCNGCATTAAAGCATCGAGGAATGGTCATTTTATCACCAATCTCCTTTTTTGCTGATGATATCATTCTTTTTTCTAGGGCAACATAAAAGGATTGTGATCTGATTAAGGAAGTGCTTCAAAACTTCTATAAAATCTCAGGCCAGAAAGTAAACCTTGCCAAATCTAAAGTATACTTCTCTCCTAATATCAGTAGAAGCAAGGCCAATCATCTAACTAGAAGAAGTGGATTGTCCAAAACTGAGGATCTAAGAAAATAACTAGGAATTCCTATTCTTCGCAAAAGATCAAATAAACATACCTATAACTTCCTAGTGGAAAAAATCCAAGCAAAGCTTAGTGGATAGAAGGATAAAAATCTAACCATCGTAGGAAGAGCCACTTTGAGTTACCTTTACCTATCCAAACTATACCATGCAAACCACCTGGCTGCCTCAGTCCACCTGTGAGAAAATTGATAGACTCAAAAAGAATTTCCTATGGGGTGATACTAAAGGAAAAAAAGTTTTATCTTGTAAACTGGGACATAGTCTATAAGCCAAAAAAAAGGAAGGGGGTCGTGGGTTAAGAAATAGTAGAGAAAATAACCAAGCTACATTGGCTAAGTTGGATTGGAAAGTAAAAGATAATCATGATGCACCGTGGGTCAAAGTAGTCAAGGAAAAATACATAAATAGTACCTCACATGACTGAAAACAGAAAAAAATGCCTCTCCAATTTGGAGAGTTATCATAAAAACAAAGCAAATTGTTAAAGAAGGAATAAATGGCTTATTGGAAATGGTCACAACATCTCCTTTTGGACTGATTGCTAGTGTGGAGAATCCCCTTTTGTTAACAAAATGCAGATTCCAGACTCAACTGCCCATGACAACCTAGTGGCAGATTTCATCGATCCTTCGGGTAACTGGAACTTGAGCAATATAGGTATGCTTCTTACTCTTAACATTATCTCTGATATCCTGATCACAAACATTCCAAATAATATTGATTTCAGAGATACCCCATGTTGGGGTCTTGTTGACAATGGTAAGTTCCCTGTAAGGACAATCTACAGTTGGTTTTAATAATTCTGTCTTGAGATGGGACAAGATTTGGTCCAAGAAAATCCCATAGAAACTCAAATTCTTCCTCTGGCTTGTTCAGAGTGACATAAAATTCTCCAACCTTCTTAGAGCTGCCAGAAACATGACCAGTGATGCAACTTGTAAGAGATGCCACATCCATATGGAATCAACCTTGCACATACTGCGGGCCTGCTCGAAAGCTCTATTTGGAAACTCCAATAGCTTTGTCAACCAGACTTCTAAGTTACAAGAGTGACTTTAGGAAAATCAAAGAAAACAAAGGAAGAAAAGATGGAGAGGAGTGGAGTGGCCTGTAGTGTTCACCTCCCTTATATGGCATATCTGGAAAGATAGGAATAAGGAGTAAATTGAAAAGTCCCATAACAACCCCCCCTCCACATACTTAGTTGCTAAAAATGCTTAACAGTTGGCCCTTGAAATTAGGCTGGCCTTCCACGAAAATTTACATATTGAAGACCATAACTTTGAAAAACTTATTGGATGGTCTTTTCCTCCTGCAGTATATGGATGTTCTAAAGGAAACCCAAGACCTGCAACAATTGGGGGCATTTTTAGAAACGATTAAGGAATTTGGCAAATGAGATTCTATGGAAGATTGATCAACTGTTCAAGTGCTCAGGCGGAATTATGGGCCATCTTCAAAGCCCTTCAACAAATCTAAACTCAGAACCTGAAGAATGTTATCTTGAAAACTGACTCCCTCGATGCCATAGACTCTTGACCTCAAGACTAGAAGAACTTCATCCAAAAATAGGGATCATTTTCAATTGCAAGAAATTGTTGACAAACTCCTTAATCTAGGCGTTCAGTAGAATGAACAAATGGTGTTACTCATCTCCCCACCCTGCTCAATGGGAGAGCTTTTGTTAATTATTTTTGAAGTTTTCAAAAAAAAAAGAAGGAAGGATGGATAAATAGATTGGTAACTCCAAATTTAGTGGTCAAGACTTGGGAGAGAAAAGCCTTGGCTACATGCAAAGTTTTGTTTGTAAAGACTTTTTTTTTATGTTTAGTGTAGTTTGTACGTGATTCAATTAATTTCATTGGTCTCATAAAAATAAGTTTTTTATATCAAAATTAAAAATTTTATGAAAAATAAATCTTTTATTACTCTAAAAAAAATACTAAATTTAAAATATATGAATTTACAGTTTTTTTTTTTGTTTGTACAGACCTTCCTAATGCTACAAATGTTTGGCCTTGCAGCCATTTTGAAAATTGTTTTTGACTTTCGTTGATACAATTGAGAGATACCCATTGATGACACTCGAGACTCTCGCCGTCAGCCAGTTCACCACCACACTATCCCACAACAGCGCCGTAATCAGATACTATCACTGTCACACTCCAGCAACACAAGCCATTATTATTATACGTACCAGCCATGCCAAACAACGAATCTTCATGCAAAAGAACCACTCATGTAGTGCCAGGCAATATATATATCATCATTCCTATCTATAATTTAGAATATAAAATAGGATATTTCAATAAATTTAATAGATAGCTTCAAATAAATTTATTCATCAATTATCAATATTTTTCTTCAAAACATTTATATTATATTAAATTTTTAGACATAGATTACTCTTAGTTTATAATATAAAACAGGTTTCAATAAGGCTATCTGACATTATGAAATAGATTCATTCAACGATTACTAATATTTCTCTTAAAATTATTCACATTAATTTTTTTTTCCCATTAAATCTATCACTTATCAATTACGTTGCATCGTACATTTAAGTACAGATTATCTATAGTTTATAATAAAGTTAAGGTATTTAAAAATAATAATAACCTCTTAAAATTTATTATTTTTAATAGTTAAATTATATTTTTTTAAAGATAAAATTA